TCCAATGGACTCTCATATGAACATTTGAAAATTGCTCTGTTCTGACTTTTTTCTGGTTCCCTGTCTAGAACTTGTGATGCTAATTACTCTTGCCTTTATTTCTCCTTCACATCTCCTATTTACCAGTCAAGGACTTCCTTTTCCCCCTATAGATAAGAATTACGCTATTTGGGAGTCTTTTAGATAGACCCACTGAAGGGGTACCCCAATTACCTTACCCTGCATCCCTGTTCAGTATGAAAGAAGCCAGAGAAGTCTGTGACCCAATTCCCTATCTGCAAGTTGGGTAACCTCTTCACAGGATGGTGTGATAATAGGACCTAGGAATTGGCTAGACAGTTAGGGTAAAAAGACCCCAAAGAAAAGTAGCCAGTTTTTTGGCTAAAAGTCACAATGTCCTTGGGCCTCTTAGCAACATACTCTCTTCCAAAGGCTAAAAATGTTGTACCTTTTTTCAGGGTATCTTATCAGAGCAACTGAAATGAAACTTAAAACACATGTCATTGCTACACAAAGTTAGGTACAAAGATGAATGAAATGTCAATCAAAATCCCATGAAAGAAACTTTGTATAGATAGAAAAAAGTGATGGGGAGATATGGGGGGAGTTGGAGAGGAGGGAGGGGGCATGGATTTGATCAAAACACCTTATATGCATGTATGAGAGTCTCAATAAATTATTTTTTTTTAAAAATGTTGCATCAGTTAAAAAAAATGGGCCAAGAGTGGGACATGATGGCTCATGCACTTAGTAATCCTAGCACTTAGGAGCCAAGGCAGGAGGATTACTCTAAGTTCATGTCAACGCAGACCATATAGTAAGGTTCAACATTGGGGTACAAAGTGAGAGTCTTTCTCAAACAGCAAAGAACAACAACAGCAACAATACAAACAAAAAATGATATGAACAGCTATTTCTCCAGAGCTGTGTGTGTTTATGTGTGTGGCTGGACTGTATATATATTGGTCAAAATATCATCATTAGCCATCCACTAGGGAACTACACTAGGGAACTCCAAATCTAAATTGTACTAAGGCATAACTTCACACCCACCAGAGTGACTGTAATAATAAATTTAACAATTAGCAGTATGGAAGAATTAGAGCCCTAATTCACTGCTGGTTAGAATGTAAAATGATGCAACCATTTATCCACTACAAATTTAGTTGTGGTGTTTGAATATGACTTATGCAATACTTGACTTTTGATTCTTAATCTTATTGAGCTCCTAAAGCAAAATAACTTAGATCTGATAATTCATAAACATCAGATATTTCTTTCCTTCAGTTCTGGAATCTGAGAATTTCAAGACCAAAGCACCAGCAGACTGAATATCTGATGGTAGCTTGCTCTCTGGAGAGTTTGTCTATGTGACCTCATATGGTGGGAGGGGTGAGCAAGCTCTCTTGGACCTCTTTTGTGAAGCCACAAATCCCAAAGACACCACTTCTTAATACTATCATACTTAATACCATCATATGGGGATTACATTTTTGAAAATGGATTTTAGGGAGACATAAAAATTCATGCTCTAGCAGATTTCAAGCTGCAAGCATTTTGAACTCAATACTTCTCATCTGTATCTCTGTGAATTACCATTTTAAGGATTTACATATGTGGCTTTGAGCGCATCGCTGACTTCACCCAGTGGCTACATATGTTTTATGCAATCTCCTCACCATTTCTCCTGTTCTCAGGAAAGGATATCCAACTTTACATGTGATATTTCGATTGGACTCGCAACTATCTTTTTGGATCCCCTAAAACAGAAAATAAGCAGAATCAGGGCAGAAAAGCAGGTAAAACATTTGAATTTGTTGTTTTTTGAATTTTCCCAGCCGTGCACTGGCAAGTGCATCAGCAAGATCGTCTCTCTGGTTAGTTGGGAGGGTTGCAGCACCCAGGTACTGCGTGTTCCATAACTCATGGAGATCTGAACACATCGCTTGACAGTGACTGAAGGACAAAGCAGGCCTTGCCTTCTTGCAGAAATACTCAGGTGGGAAACAGGATCACTAACAGCACCTGTAAGAGACTGCAGTGGTGGAAGAACTAACACACACATGGTGGACTGAGAGTGCATTATACAAGTCCAGGAGTACAGTCATGGATAAGAGCAGGGCTCTAACCTGCGGCCACCAGGACACACTCCTGACTCCACCTAGCACATAATGTAGCTCAAGAAAGAGTGGCCTTCATGATTGCTGTTGTTTATTGTTAATACAAGTAAGAGGACCTCCTTGACTGAACAGCAGTGTGCTCTGGGCTTGCTGTCTGGTTACTGCTCTGCCTCTATGCCAAGGCCATTAAGTCAACTGGAGAGGATACAGGCAATGTATTTTAACACAGTTCCCATTTAGAGAAATGTCAGCAATAACAAATGTTTCCCAACATTGTTTTATATTTGTGTTTCATGTTCATACAATCACTCCATTTTCGTAATTGATATTTTGTGTACAAAATATGTTGTAGTAACAAATGACCTCCTTATGATCCATCTTAGTTGTCATGTCTCTAAATGATATGACAAATGGAAAGAAATAACAGCAGCAATTTGAATTTATGGAAGCTAGACAACAGTGTTTTAATATTACATATTTGTGTGTGTGTGTGTGTGTGTGTGTGTGTGTGTGTGTGTGTATGTGTATTACAGTGCTGGGAATTAAACTCAGGGTCTTGCTAAGCAAGTTCTATACCACTGAACTACATTAGCCCTAAATGTATTATTTTTAACATGAATTAAAATGTTCATATAAATCATGAATTATTCACATTAATATGAATAAAATTATTTTATCTAAATTGTTAATTCATGTACATATATATTGAATTTTAACTTAAGGGTATTTTTTTGGAGGTCAGAATTAAAAGCAAAGTTCAAATTTGGAATATGAACAACGGATACAGCATTCTATGCAGGTTTTTTTTTCATTAATAAAAAGTCTGTTACACAGACATATTGTTAAACTATTTTGTTATAAATAAGACATATCATCTAACAGAAATCTCTTGCCAAAGTAAGGATTTGCTCATAAAAAGAGAGAAAAAGTATTGTTATTTTTCTAAATGGAAACTTTTTTTTTTTTAAAACCACAGAAGTTATTCTCTGAGTTTTGGTTAAACGTTTTAGCTTTATCATATTTTTTCTTTCAATCTCAATTTCAGTGACTTAATTATTCTGTGAAAAATACAATTTTGAACAATCAGCTATCTTTTTTTTAATAATAACTTCAAGAGAGACATCCCACCCCAAAGAAATAAGCAAAAGCTTTTACAAACAAAAGCTTGGAACTATGACATTAATGTATACTAATTTTCAGCAAAATGCTTTCTACCCCTCTAAAATAAATATTATGAAAATAATTGGGTCTGCAGTATGAAAAGTAGTTGAATAAATCATTGTTAAGAGAATAAATAAGTGAAAACTGCAAATTTACCTCAATTCCTGAAAAAATTAGATTTGGAGAATATTGTACTATCGTCCTGGTGTTGTAGGCACTGTCCTTTTTGTTTTTGACTATGAGGCTGACATTGAGTTTGTCATTCTGAGACCTGACAATCAGCAGGTTCTTTTCTGTGGTGGACACATCCAGGGTAAGGTCTGAGATACATTTCTCCTTATTTCCACAATCTTTGGCAAATGGAATCTGAAACAGTCACAGGAATGTGGTTTTCAAAATGTGGCTAAGCATCATCGAAAATTATTCATTAATCTGTGTGACTGAAATGGCAGAGACCAAAGTAAGGGAACTCACCCAGAAAACTATACTTTTGAGATCTTAAGGAATTCAATACCCACTTCCGAATTTATGGGAGAAAGAGTAAACTTTGACTTATAGATTTAATTTTCTAGCCCTTTAAAGAAGGCACACTTTTCATGAGTATTTTACACTAGTGTAAAGCTTTCTATTAAAAAGAACCAGATACTGAGGAAGCCCATCAAGGGGTGGGAAAATGTTCAAGCCACATGTCTAGGAACTTTGCTTGATTCTTCTTTTTACCACCCCCCTGTGCAATCCATCATCGAGTGTGTGGTTTCTACTCTCTTCTCCATATCTCCCAAGTCTCCTGTCACCTGCCCATCTTCTCCCTGAGTTGAAGCAGTACCCTCCACTCACATCTAACACCTACTTGTTTCCTTTTGGTCATTCTACATATTATGGCAGATCTAATCTTTGAACAACACTATCTGGTCCCGTCACTGAGCCAAACTAAATCAGTCAGCTGCATTGCACTGTCATGTTTAATGTTTACACTTTGGGCAGCAGCACAACACCCCAAGGGGTTTCCTTTTGCCTTTGCCTCCAGCCTTGTGCTCCATCCCTTTCACCTTTGCTCTTTGGTTTCAGCTGCATTAATGAGTATTGTTAAGCTTCTTTAATGGTTTAGAACCTTCACATATACCACCCCTCCATACTGGAACTAGGACAGAAAAATCACCTTTTCAGGACTTAAATTCCACAACTGCAGGGGGCTTTCCTGACTCTGAAGACTAGGTGGAGATGTCTGCAGAACCCTGAAATCCTTCAACAGCATACCATTTAATTATTGCTTAAAACCCACCCAATTGTCAAGGTAAGACTGTTTGAGCTCCATGCCTGGTATATACACGACAGTAAATATACTTGAAAGGTCAAAAGGTCATGGAAGACGGGTATATGGGGAAAACTAATTCCCCATTCCTAATGATTCTCTCCATGTTGGCCATCTGGCAATACTCTTCTCCCTCTCTATCCCCTAACTCTCAGACATGGGACAGTGAACTCTGAATTTGGGAGCAGGACTGAGGTCACACAACTGAGTCCCTTTCTATCTCTTGTTTGGGGCAGCAGTTTACCCACAGGAAGCACACATGCTGTTCTTCTCCATATCACAAGCTTCGCACAGCAGCCCTCCATGAAGAAGGCCAGAGCTGGATTTGTACTGCTGCTGTGGTTAGCTGTGGTCCAAGTCCGAGGTCTACAAGCAGATTTTTTATTGCTAAGCCCTGCCTTGCAACCTAGCACTTATTAGAACAAAGGGGTCTTTCAATTGGTCATTGACAGTTTCCTTAAACTGTAGCCAAAGAAAGGTAGAAGGATTAGGAATAGTCAAGAACTACCAAACTATACACAATTGATTTAGAATTATGTGTCTATGTGGTTTTAATTTTTTTATACATTCACATGTAGGCATTCTATTTTTTTTTTTTAATCTGACTTACATGTTCATGGACTGAGTTTGGTAGAGCATCATCAAGAACAGGTCCATTTTCTGAATCAGTAAGATTAAAATCTAAAGTTATCCTCACGGAGTCCTGAAAGTCATGCTTGTCCTAGAAGTGGAAACATAAAATCTGTCACTGGCAACATAACTACTGGATGTTCTGCCTTTATTGTGGCATCCTTCTGCCTCTGTGGTTTACTGGAACATTCTGGAGCACCTAATCTGACATAACACGTTGGCTGACTTTTGCTTTGCTGAAGTGGTATAGCCTTTCTGCTTGACAAGGGACACGGGTGGAAAGCAGAGGCTTCAGAATGCGACAGACCACTCACCTACAGCTCTGCAGAGGGATGTGCCTGCTGGGATTTGCCTCCTTGAGCTACTTGCGAGAAAAAGCATTGTTTCTCTTGAGACCTCAGATGAGTAATCAGTATGTAATGCTTCTGGGAAACAGTCCCAATTTCAGAAGGACAAACTGTCTTCAAATTCAGTTATATTTCACTTACACTCATACTGCACACGCACACGCACACGCACACACACATACACACACACAACACACACACACATATAGTATCTCCAGCCCTATGAAATTTTATAATATATGCTGATATGTAAATGGTGTGACTTTAATTAATATTTTTCCTATATTGTCAGTGACAGCCATTATTCAGTGTCCAAAATTATGGGCTTTATGCACATTACTGTGAACTGATTCAGTAGTCCTCTAAAATGGATAGCTATGATGATTTTTATTTTAAACTGAACCTCTGAGACTAAATGACTTTACCACAGTCACTTAGGGAAGCTGAATACAAATTCTACCCCAGTTAACGCCAGAACAAATGTTAAAATGTCTATTAAAATCCAAAGGAATTTTGGATTGTTTGAAATTAGTTTGTTCCCTTCCATTCCAGTCCCTGGACAGAGCTGATATGCTGACCTTGTCGCAGAGCTGCACTCACTTTTAGCAGATCCATCTGATGTTCATCAACTTTTATACAAGTTCTAACTATTTAATTCTCAGTTCTGAAGAACTAAGCAGGAGGATGATTGTATTTTTATTTTTTCTGAAGATAGAGCTTAATCATAATAAAGTTTATATATATATAATAAATATACATCATAGAGGATATCAACATGATAGTCATAGAGAAAAAATGCATGTGGCAAACCAGGTTGTATATTGTCTTTCATATTTCTGTCTCTGAGTAGGACCTGCAAACTTAGCATATGAACACAGCACTAAGTCAGAGTAGTGGGAAAATCAGCTTGTTTCCTTTAAAACTCCAAGGAAATATTCAAGTTTCTAAGTCTCAATCTTGGTTACTAAAGATGGTGTTTTGTCATTCCTATCATTTTTAAAAAAGTTTTACAAATTACCATCATGTATGCTTTCAGAAAATGTTTAAGATACTGCTACTCTCAGGAACATTTTGCACATATACAATGCCCATCAAAATGCATTTGCAATGGCTCAAACTGGCTCACTAGCAATCTCTAGAGATTAATAATGTGATCTCTGAGCCTCTCTCATCCACTAAACAGAAACTGAAGTAGTTCAAGGCCCGAGAAGACAGAAAATAGCAGATTTCACCCCTCAGTCTAAAGTCAATTCATAAAACATGTAGTTCAACGGGCTCCAGTAAGTATCTGGCCTGATAGGTTGCCTTCCGGGCCATTAATGACTCACCACACACATTTGACAGATGAGACCCACAGATGTTAATTGATGCTTTCAAATTTAAATAAGGAATGAGATTTAGGGGTATGGCTCAGTTGGCAGAGTGTTTGTCCAACATGCACAAGGCACTGGGTTTGATTTCCAGCATCTCATAAAACTGAACACGGAGATGCCTGCCTGTAACTCCAACACTCAGGAGGTAGAGGCAGAAAGATCTTAAGTTCAAGATCATCCTCAGCTACGTAGAAAGTTAGAGGCCAACCTGGGATACATGAGACCATGAGTCAAATAAAATTAAACAAAAAGAACAAATGAGTGAGTGAAAGACATTAGTTAAGTGAGCAAGGTGTCTTGTGAAGTGGTACCCCACGCACTGTACTATTCCATAATCTGTAGATATGATATACACAGACTTTAAACATAGTTTTAGGAAATGTATTAGAAATGAGAAAATCAGACCTGTTGATTTCCCTATGAGTGAAAAAAGGTTTATTTTTATGACGTGTACTTTGAAATAAAGCACTTGGTCTATACTATATTCTCTGTACTATGTTCTACGCTACATTCTCAATTGGAAATAAGGCAGCTGTAATACATGATTTACTTGCCAACATGTAGAAGGAGTGCCTAATGCATTCGGATTCTTGAACTGTAATGTTTCTTTGAATCCTTCTCTCTTGAGTTCCAGAGAAAAAACTCCGTGATATCTGTCTGAGTGAATCTAGGGTGACGCGGTACTGCATATCTACAAAAATGGAAGAAAATGTGACAGAAATATTTATTTGGAGATGACTTTCACATGATTCAACTCATTAAATTAGGATCCTAGAAATATCTCTTGAGCAGTCAGTGAATAAAAAGTTTATTATTGAGCAGACCCATATTGCTACCATACAGTGAAGGTGGTAGTGAACAGAGCCTTGAGGAACTCTGCAGAGTTGCTTTGAATTGACTATATATTTAACATTTAAACACAGGCATGCACACATGGACACACAGATGAACTCTAATTTATTGACTAGGTGTTTCTAGATTTTTGCTTAAAATAAGTTCTTATAGTTTAGAAATGTTGGGAAACAACCTGGAATATTGATTAATTTCACATGTATTTTGACAGAGATTAAAATGATCAATAACTATTTTTACTTTTTTTGTAGAAACATGCCAACTTACATTATATTTAAAACACTATTAAATTCAACAAAACAAGCATACCACAATAAGAAAAATGTAAAGCCCTGTACTTTAGACGAAGCTACAAATGTCTTTAATTGCTTCATTAAGAAAAAGTTAAGTAAGATTGAAATAACGTCGCATATGAAAGTCCAAATCAGTACTTACCACTTCTGCAATTCATTTACCATCTAGTCAGAGGACTATTTCAGAGCATTATAATATGCACAAATAGAGAAAATTAAGAAAACTTAATCATAAGGGTTAGTGGTTTTTCTTACTCATATTAGGTTGGCAGATTGAATTTCTCTTTTGAAGCCACTGGCTCTCATAACTTCACTCCAACATATTTCAACATCATTGAAAACTGTCTTAGAAAGAACAGAGCATAGGGCAGAAGGGGATATACATGTTGACCTGACACGCCTGAGGACCCCACACAGAATCTGACTGAAAAATGAGCCGTATCTCAGAGGAAAGAGACCCTTATCAGGTTGGGATTGAGGATGAAGCATTCAGGTCATCTTCAATACCAGTCTTTCTGACGAGGGGGCAGGAGAAGGGAGAGGATTCTTTTTCGAACTCATTTGGAGACCATTTCTAATTATATACCTATATATTTATATATCTATCTCTATAGATATATATTAGGAGAGCCATAGGAAAACTATGGAATTTTGAGGCCATTGCATACAAGCATGTCTTTTCTGCTGCAAATTTTCCTGGGTTCCACAAGGTATTCTTTCTAGAGGAAAAGGGTTTTCAAGGTTCATCACACTCGCTGGGCAAATGCAGTAAGTGGTTCACTATGCTTGGAAGAATTCACATCCTGGAGCCAACACATTTTCCTTTGCCCCAAAGTTCTTGTAATCACTGTACTTACCAGCTTTGTAAATTAAGTCTTCTTTAGACTTTAATTTTGCATAAAAACATATGGTAGCATTTATGCACACAGTTTCTTTCCCATCCACACGGCAGTTTTTCTTTTGAATATTCACTTTATTGGGTTCAAAATTCATGGTCACTTTAACTACAGCCACATCTCTGGCCCTGCAAACACATAAACAATGAGATTACTCACACATTTTACATTTAACTTGCTAGGTCAATGTGAGTTCATCAAAGGAGATTCTCCTTTATATTTCATGAGTTCTCAAGACTATGTTCTTTAATGAATTTTTGATACAGACCAGATTGTGAGATTTTATCATATGTCCTAGGAGTCCCCGGTTGTTTAGAATCACCTCAGGCATTTGGTTCAAAGACCAAAGACTAAGTTTTGCTTGCTAGTAATAGAAAAGTGGAACCAAGTGGCCAGGTGAAACTCAGAATTAGAATTATATTTGGGGATCTCTGAGAGAGTTTTCAATTTGGAAATGGTTCAAAGGCACCTAGAATACTAGTCAGTCCTTGTTGACTTTCATCCACACTGTAATACTTGTCTGTTCTTGTGGATTTAACCTTGTTTATGTTTCTGGGAAGAAGAATTATATTTGAGACATTGTGATTATGTACTATTTCATTTCACTTTTTTAAAACAGTATTTTATTTGTTGTTTTTATTTGATGTTCATGAGTGTGTCGCATGCGTGTATGTTGTGCAACGCCTGCAGAGGTCAGAAAGTGTTGGATTCCCTGGAACTGGAGTTACAGACGGTTGTTAGCTGTCATGTAGGTGCTCGGAATTGAACCCGGATTTGTCCTCTGTAAGAGTAGCCAGTGCTCTTAACTGCTAAGCCTTCTCTCCAGTCCCTCATGTCACTCTTAAATAAATTGTAATAATAAGAGACACAGTAGTCCTCCACACCTTATCTATGGTTTTTTTTCATAGTTTCAGTTACCTGTGGTTAACCACAGTGCAAAAGTATTAAAAGATAAACTCTATGAAGAAAATATTCATGTTTTAGATTGTGTGATGCTTGGAGTAGGATGATAAAATCTTGCATTTTCCTGTTATCCACCTAGGATGTAACCATCCATTCTCCAAAGTGTCCATTCTATATATACTACCTGCCCATTGGACATTCAGTAGCCATTATGGAATCTCAGTTCTATATAAAGCTTTATACTGCTTGAAGTTTCACACATCCACTGATAGTCTTGGAAGGCATTAAAAAAAACAAAAACAACTATTGTCTAGGGGGCTGGAGAGACGGCTTAGTGGTTAAGAGCACTGGCTGCTCTTGCAGAGGGACTTGGATTTGGTTCCCAGCATCGATATGGTGGCAAACAACTGTCTGTACCTCTAGTTCTAGGGAATCCAACGCCCTCTTCTGACCTTCATGGGCACTGCACAATATGCATACACTTACATACATGCAGACGATACACTCATAAACATAAAGTAAATAAATAAAAATAAAAAACCCTATTACTTTATTTTACATATGAGATAACTGAAGCTTTGTAAAGGTCAAAACTGTGAAGAGGCAAAAAACTAGGATTAAACCCAAACCGTTTTAACTGTAAACCTCAGTGACTGCACTGATCCAAATAAGAGCAAAGTTCTTAGCTAGGGATAATGTGAGGAAGCCACTGCCTTATAACCAAGTCAGAATAATTGTTGGATGCCTATACTTGATTTCTACCTTTGACCAGAACTGCCTCTATGTAACTAGATGGCCTCTGAATACTGAAGTCTCTACTCATGCTTTTGTATTTAAAATAAATTAGTTTTCATTTTTCTTCAAAAATAATTTACTGACAGAAAACATGAAAATCACAGAAATAGACCAAGAAAAAGATAAGTGATTTATAATTCTGTCACTCAACAGTGATCATCCTTAACATTTAGTACCCTTAATATTTTTATTTCTGTGCAGAGGAATAGAGATAAGTTCATATACAAGCATACATATACTATATATGCACGTATACAAACACACATAGAAAAGTGCATGTTACATGTATATTGTAAAACATAAGGAAAAGCTTTCTAAGTTTATATTTTTCTGAGAACATAATTTAGTGACAGTCTGCTGTAAAGGCATATGCACATACCATACTGTATTTATTCACCTCTCATTAGCTATTTAGCACTTTAAAAAAATTTTCTTACATGGATATATGTGTGTGTGTGTGTGTGTGTGTGTGTGTGTGTTTGTGTTTATGTGTGTGCATGTGGAGGCCAGAGGCTGATGTTGTGTGTCTTCTTCTCCTCTCCTACCCCCTCTTTTTTTTTTTAAAGACACAGACTATTATTGAACCTAGAGCTCATCAATTTGTCTAGGCTAGTTGGCCTGTGAGCCCCAGTGATTCTCCTGTGCCTACTGCCCCAGCACTAGTGTCACAGGGACACATTACCATGCCTGGCTTTATGTGGGTGGTAGGGATTCAAACACAGGTTTTTGGCTTGCATGGCAAGCATTTTACTGACTGAGCCATCTCCCTAGTCCATCTTGTTGTATAAAAAGTGGTTCTTAAATATAGTCCTGTGATGGCTCTAAACATCATACATTTTAAAGCATATTTCTATGCTATACCTTTAAATTGTTTTAGGAATTAAATCCTTCCTTAGTAAGTATGACTATTTTATGGTTCTGAATCCTTGACAAATACTTTCTTAGTTCTAGCTAGTTTATCTTTCATCAGAATGAATGTGTCTGTCTAGTTTCCTGTTTAGTAATATGGTTCCCCAAGCATGAGAGTGACTTGACTAATGTCTACTCCACATATCTTGTCTTTCCCAACTGCATCTATATGGAAGCATGGCTGTCTGGTCTGCATAACTGGGTCTGCATAATTGGGATCTTGCTGTCTGCTCTCTCATTGTCTCTACTCAACACCTGCCTTCTGTATCCTGTTTCAATCCCTCCTTCAGTACTGTGAAAGCTTGGTCATTGTGCCCCAGTAGCCTGGTTTGCTGTGTTCTACTGTCATTGAAGCCTGGGTTATAAAAGGGACTACATCCATTTTTGTGATTCAGGGAAGCAAACGAAGTCCATTATTTACAAAACCTTGGGCACAACTCAAGATTAGGAATATTTTACTATTTATATGTATCTTCTAAACAACCACCTCCAGTATAGCTTTCTCCAAAGAGAACATCTGTTCTAGGGTCAAGTATTCAGCAGATAACCAAATTGAGAGTTCATTCTACTCATTAGTATACTATAGCTTTTTTTGTTCTTAAGATTCATTGACACCACAATCAATTAAATAATTTGTGTCTTGCCAGTGCAGCATAAGAGGAAATAAGCATTTGCTACGACAAGAGTTCCGATCATACTATAAGCTCTGGAACCGTATAGGAAATACTACCAAAGTAATCAGATACCATAAAATACATACCAGAAAAGGGCAGCACCGCCAAGGCCCCCAATAGTCACATCAGTCAGACCATCATCATTTAAATCCATTTCTCCATGGATAGACTGGCCAAAAAATTTCAGTTTCTTGCCATCTCCACCTGATGGAATTCGCTGTAAAAATCCCAACAGACAGTTTGATGTCAGAAGAGCCTATTCAAAATAGCTTCATATAAATATGAGAATTTGGACTGCTTAATATGAAGTTAAAACTAAAGGTCTTTTGGGAAACAAGAGACCCCTCAGTGGAAACAAGAGGAAAGAGTTTAATTTTCACAAAGAAAATTGTTCTTCTTATAGTGCTGACTCCAGAAAGAGGGGAGATAATTATATAATGCCATCTTGACTAATGCTCGAGGGAAACCCAAGTAACTGCTCTACTTTCTAGTTCCTTTTCAGTTCTAGTAAACGGAGATATTCAAAGGTACTGGAAACTTTGAAAATGTCATATAAGCAAGAAAGAGACTAGATCATTGTTACGGGGTTAATATGGGGTTCACTGAACTTTGTAGCTGGGCATAAAAAACAAATTACATCAAATACATTCTCTAATGTGCAATCTTCTTTACTGTGTCAAAAATTATCCTAAAAGACCCAACTCCATCTATCTATCCACGTGGAAGGAAGGCGCAGTGAAGGAGGTCTGAAGGCTGATCTGCACACCTTACCTCACATGAAGCGTGTGCTTTCTCTACTTCTGGACTTGGTGTTTGTGCAAGCAGATACTATTTTAGTATAACCTGCTGGCAAGGTGGCAGGACTGAAAGACCCTCGCCAAACTCAGGGTATCTGTATCCTTCTACACTTTTTTAAAAATAGCACAAAATATAAAATCCAAAAAATAAGAAGCAAACCAAATAGAAACACTTAGTATACTTAAACTTATTTGTCTCATTGATGAGTATTTTCATAATTTTTTTTGGCAAACAAATCAGGAGATAATCTGCTCATTGGTTCTGAAGCTGATACTGCTTGATTCAGGATCATCCTGTGCTTCTGGGTCCCATGGAAATGGGTAAGCTCATCTTTGCCTGTTCCTTGGGAAAGCATTTTCCACTAAGAAAACAGATGTAACTAATATTGTTTTGTTATTTTTCCTTAAAGCTGCATCTTGATTTACCACTGTTTTACAAAATGAATCACTTAGGACAACCTATTCTACTAACAACTAAAAATCGGGGTTGGAGAGATAGCTCAGTGGCTAAGAGCACTAACTGCTCTAGCAGAGGACCGGGGTTCAATTCCCAGCACCCGATTGGCAGGTAATAATCATCTGTAATTCCAGTTCCAGGGGGATCTGATGCACTCTTCTGGTGTCCATGGGTATTGCACAACACTGGTGCATTTATACATCTGTAGGCAATATGCTCATACACATAAACATAATAAATAATTAAGAAAAAACAATTAAAAATCTTTCTTTGCTTCATATGCTGTTCCTCAAGCTTGCAGGATAAAACTGCAGGAATAAAGCATCAGAATACAAGAATCCTAGTTGTGTTCTTCATGGATTCCTCATGCCCTGGTTGTTAATATTGCCTGCCACTACTTAAGTATATAATGTCAGGAAGAATTTTTAACAGAAACAAATCATTTATCAAGTGGACAGGAGTACTGTTACTAATATAAGCCTTTACTTTGTTCACTATTATTGTCATTATGACTTTTTGAAAAGTAAAGCACAATGGTACAATACATGAGTAGATTTTGAGAATTTTGTTGACCACTTAAATAAAGGAGGCCCTTGAAAGGTAAACAGTAATGGCCAATGTTCTGGTTTCTTCTCACAGCTTGTTTGCTGGACAAAGTTGAGGCAAGTTTTGAAATATAAGCTTTTTCTAACAGAAACCCAAATTCTTTTGATGAAAATATGCCAGTTTAGTTCATAAATATAAATTTTATTTATTAACAACATGGGTACTAAATATAAAAACCATAATATGATCTCTTTTATTGGCTAAATCATACTGTTATTGTCCTCCTACTCTTTTAGGATTAAACACACTGCTATAAGGTGTTCTGTTTTGTTTTGCTTTTTACTGTTTCAAGAAATCAGGTCCAAGAGTCAGACAACCACAGAAAAGAAGCCAGATAGCAGTATAAAATGCTAGGCAATTCCTCGATGAACCTAGGAGGAAATTACATTTAGTTTCCCAAGAAAATTAGAAAAAAGAAATAGGTAAGTTATGAAGACAGGTAATGCTTTGAACTCATTTGGCCGGAAAGGGCGAGAGCCTGAAGGCAGCTATAGCCTCTTACTTGTGCGTAGTCTTTCTTGATGGTCTTGCCGCTGCCGTGATAGATGTACACCGCACCGGCGTGGTCATCTTCCAGTGGGGCTCCGATCACGATGTCATTAAATCCATCAACATTGAGGTCTTTTACAGCAGCGATTGCTGTCCCAAAACGAGCCCCACACGGCTCGTTCTTGTTTTCTTTTGTGCATGATTTGCCCTTCAGAGACGAGCAGCAGGTCTGCTTAATTGGTTCCAGGCTCATTTGATATTCAAACCTTGTCTGGAGTGAAGATAAACAGATACTTAAACATTTCTATCCCTACCACAGCAGAGTAGGTTTGTTTTCTAAGTACATGCTAAACCAGCCCTATTTAAAAATAACACTTATACATCAGTGGCAAAATCTATAAAATATCTGAGGAAGTGTACTATTTAGAGCAAAGTTAGGAACGGCAAAGGAACCTAAGAAAGCATGCTGAAAATTTCAACATCTCTTCTTGATACAGTTGAGTATGTGATCAACAAAGTGTTTTCCATTCATAGAACTGAAATTGTACATCCTCAGTCTGTGCCCTTGCCCATCTTTACCCAACGCTCTGCTTCCTTCTTCATTGTCAACCCAAGACCGAGAAAATTTGCTCTGATCAAAGAGCAAACTTGTGAAAGCTGCCTAGGATGGAGGGAAACTTAGAAACTGCCAGCAAAGAACATACTTTCTTGGAAAAAAGAGAAAAATAAGAATGCCCCCCAAAAAAGACACACAGGAGGGGAAGTGAAAAAAGACAAGAAAGTCATGCAATTTATGATCTAAAATAATACATATAAAAATCTAAGAATTAAAAATAAAAAAGCCACTGTCCTGTCTATAAATAGCAAAATATCCTGTTACTGAGGAAGGCAAGAACTATCTCACTCAACAAATGATGTTTAAAGTCAGGAATGAAACAGAATTTCCTCCCAGGCCAGGAAAGTGTTCCAAAGACCCCAGTGGCTCCTGGGAAGGGCCTGGTGTCCCTGCTGTGAAGATGCCTCTGCCTATAACATGGTGTCCCTGGTTGCCCCTACCTCTAGGCCAGAGCTGCTTAATGAGTTTATTAACCAGGTGTGTTTATTAACCAGGTGAGTGGCATTTATATTTGTCTTATTTATCCTGTATTTTCTGGTTAAAAAAAACAAACAGAAAACAATTCTATAGCAACAACAAAACCAAACAAAAAATACTTCACATTTTCAAGCAAAACATACTTAAGGTTTAACACTTTACTCATATTCTAAATGTTCATCTTGAAACTGTAGGATTGGCCAGGTAAATGGGCCCTGGAACTTCTTTGCTCAATTTTTCCCAAAGAAGTGAAAAAGTTAAAGCTGCATTAATAGGAACTGAAGGGAAAGAAGATATTTTTCTGGATTCCACCAAACTCAGATACCATTACCTGATTCATAGCGTACACATACACTTTTCCCTGTTCCTCTTTCTCTGTTCCCATGTACATGGGGGCTCCAACGAGAAGCAGGTCAGTGTTAGAATCTTTATCGATGTCAATTGTTGTTAAGACACTACCGAAGTAGGAGCCAATCTAGGCACAAGAACACAAAAGACAAAAACACAAGTGCTGATGAAACCTCAGAAATTCTGGAGGAAGCTGAAGTCTATATTTCTATAAATTCTCACAGTCCAGAAGATGGGAAAGGTGGCTGGTAAAGGTAATAAACCACAGAAACTGGTGCCAGCCGAGTGCTCTCTAGATCGAAGACTGAGTTACTCCCAACTTTGAAGATGAAAAGCAGTGACAGATTTCATCACCTGGAAATAGCAGAGGCAATTCTTTATATTACACTATGACAGCTCTTTCTGCTCTACACATCAGATCAGTATTCCTACAGTGATCGTTAAGGCAGAAATAAAAAAAAAATGAGTTTAAGAGAAGGCATTGTGGATGGTCTTAGCAATGTGTTAATTTAGTAATATGAAAATATGAAACAAGTCCATGAGAGGAGCTAAATATTCCTGGAACACTGCAGCTTATGTCACACCACTATCTCTGATGACTGCCTGTTCAACAAATGGCTAAGTTGTGTTCCAGCAGTTATGAGAGACAGAAAAACATGAAACAAAAACTTATGAGTTATATATATATTAGTAATGAGTTGGGCATTCATTATTAATGTCTGTGGTCCTCTGGAGCTCAGTGTGAATTCATGTTTGCCTAGGGCCATAGTTCTCCACTTCCTCATGTCTCATGCCCAATAGCTTTACCAATTAGAGCTTGAGTTTACTGTTAGAGGAAGTGTATAAACACCAGAACTGCTTGAGTGCTAATCATAGAGCTGCCTTTCAGTTGCTCAGGCTTGAAACTGAAGTCACTCATGTTTTAAATCATTCATAACATTATCCTTATGATCTTACAATAATGGTGACAACATGAACAAGATAAAAATTTTTTTTTAAAAAAAAAAAAAAAAAAAAAAAAAGCATTCCCCTATACTTGCAGGCAACTACAGAATGATAACGGATCTAAGATGTCAACAACAAAAAGGCATTTCCTCTTTTTCAGTTCCGTTTCACTTACATCTACTTTACTACTTCCTTTTCCATTTCTCAGTGTTGATATATCATTTAAGGTTCTTCTAACAACATCTTTGAGTTACAATGATAGCCAGTTTATTGTTCATTCAATTTCTGAGTGTGTGACTAAATTAATAAAACCCTTTCACTTGGTATATGTGAGCCTGACCCCTAGAGTACTCTGAGATTCTTCTGGGAATCTGCTGAGGATACTATAACTGCATGGCTCAGCAATGTTGATGCAGGTGAAAACTTCTGGTTAGACAGCAGCATGGAGGCTGTGTGGAATTGGAAGAAGTGAACTCTTTGTACCTGATGGGATGACATCTTGGGGCTTCTCAGATTGTAGAGACTCATGTAACTAGCATGCCCTTTGCAGAGCCCTGTAAGCTATGTCTATATTTTTGTAAAGGACACTGCTTATTGTGGGGCTGGGGCCTTTAGCACTAAATGTCTCCTGATGCCTGGGCTGCAGCCAGAACTCCTGCAGAGAAGGAAGGCTGACTCAGCCTTGGGTGCCTAGTCTACCTATTTACCAAAGCCTAAGCAGGCATCTTTGGAAATGGCAGAATAAAGCTAATGAATTCTCATTGTGGAATAGTTGGAAAACCCAGAAAACCGAAAAAAGGGACAACATTTACTCTAGTTATTACTTAAAATTGAACCCAAAATAGTATAATTAGATATTTCTTTGTGTAAAATATTATATTTACCTACTGCATGTATAATTTCCTAGATAACTTTTAATATGTCATGATATCTTTAAAGAATTTTCCAATTTTACATGTTGTACATAATTTCCCATTACCTATAGGACAAAATTCAGTATTTTCAGTTGGCCATTTAGAACTTCACACAATTTTGTCTTTCACTTCTCTTTCTACTTATCTATATTCTATCTTTCATTTTATTTTCAGTACAAATTCTGTTATTAAGACCTTTTGCACCAATCAGCTTAATGTTTGTGTCTTCTGAATATGTTGCCCATGCCACTGGCCCTTTTATGCATTTTTGTGTTTTAGATCTCTTTCTTGCATCTACTGAATACAGATGAACCCAACATCTATTATTTGTAAATATCTACATCTACATCTTTCTTTCTGAAATGTTCATGATTTCTAAGATGTGACTACTTCACATCCCTTCAAAGAATCTAATAGAGGGTCCTGTTCACACTGGATTTTGAAGAAGCGGGTTTTAAAAGGCTTAGGTCAGCAGTTTCATGGAACATGCATGGATGATGTAGAACAATACTTTTAAAGTTTACCTGCTCTCCACCGAGTGTCTGGAGAATCTTGATATTCCCATCTTCCATCCTATAGATGATGACTTGGCCTGTGTGATTGTACCGAGGCTGTCCAGCAACATAGAGCACATCTCCAGGGACAGTAGCAGAGTTTACTGTGTAGCCTAACCAAAGAGAGAGTCGAGATAGTTATGTAATAGATTATGAATCACTTTAAACAGTTTTTTTTAAGTTTATAAAAATTATCATTTTATAGTTTGTGTTGATGGGAAGCTTTTAATGTGTTCATTGAGTATCACAACTGAATTGCTCTGAAATGGTATTTTTCCCCAAACTCAGTATTTCATTGTTCAAAGATAAATCTAACAGTGATGACAGAAAGAGAGGAAGAGGATACATACAAGCATTCAAGCGCGCGCGCACACGCACACACACACACACACACACACACACACACACACTTCTTAAAACCCTTGATTCACCATTTTGGAATAAATCAATTATATTTAATTTAGGTGCACATGTCTATAATATTGAAACTAATAGTTTTATATACTTGGGATTACAGAAACCATAAACGCTTCCTACATTGCTAGCAAGGTTTTTTTTTTTTTTTTTTTTTTTTCTTTTTGAAGCAGGGTCTCCCTGTAGCCCCAGCTGTCCTGGAACTCACTATGTAGACCAGGATGGCCTTGAACTCACAGAGATCCGCCTGCCTCTGCCTCCCAAGTGCTGGGACTACAGGCGTGCGCCACCACGCCCAGCTCTGCTAGCAAGGTTTTATAACAATAATTTTATATGGCTGAAGGTTATTTTCCTTAGTTTGATCATGAATGTGTTACATTTACTTCCTGACCATTACTGATAGGATACTGGAGTTTATATTTTTTTAAAAAAACTTGATATTATGCCTAAAATATGCTTACAAAGGCATATTTGAGCACTTAATTTTTCTTCTTTTAATATTTTTGACAAATTTAATATGATAGATAACTGGATCAAGTTTTTAATGGTTCTTACATTTCAAGCAAATTGTTTCCAGAACATTTTACTAGATTTATTCTATGAACAATTATATGAGAAACAACTAGCTTCATCAAACTTTTTCAGGCATTGTGTTTCATTACTATTATTTAAATTTGTGAATGTTTTGATAGGTGTTACACATTGTATAACAGTAGAATTTGTGATTTTAATTTATATTTGTTTGATTAAAAGTGATTGTTCCCATATATCTAACCATTCTACTTTTCAACTGAGTTTCCATTCTCTGTAAAATGCTACCTTTTCTTCTGCTTTAACTTTCATTTACATTATTTTATGTTGAATTTTCACATGAGTCATGAGCTTCTTTTTTTATTTTTGAGAATTTCACACATGAGTACTGGATTTGTATTGTTTCCATCTCTCTCAGTCCCCTTCCAACTCCTCCTATGCCCCTCAATTCCTTCCTAATTACTTGTTTTCTACTTTATTATTGTTACATATATATACATTTTATGATATACATACAGACACACAGACAGACAGACAGACAGACAGACACACACACACACACACTCACTACATTGAGTTCATTTAGTGGTGCTCCTGTGTACCTGAGATTTTTCTTGTTTTTATTTTATTTTTATTTTTGGGGGAATGACTTCTGGGAATGCCTCCTGTCTTACCTAACCTTATAACTAAAGTTAGTTTTGTGTTTTGAGATTATTTAACACTATCTGTTCAATCTATAATTGGCTTATTTAAATGTAGATAACCTTTAGGAAAAGAATATAAACAATCTTTCTATGCTTTGGGCTGCTCTTGTAATCAACTGTTACAAGTTAAGCTAAGCATATAGATTCAGTCTTAAACTATGCTCCTTATTTCTCGCTCATGGCCCTTCCTTGCCCTCTAGCTGAGAATAGTGGTGTGTGTGTGTGTGTGTGTGTGTGTGTGTGTGTGTGTGTGTGTATGTGTGTGTGTGTGTTGTGAAAATATCATTGCTGAAACCAACCATGTTAGAAGCAATGCATTAACCACAGTATATATTTAAGTATATATGTGAGCTTGAGTTAATGCATCTGTTTGTGGTTTTGTATGCTGTTTTGGATCAGTAGAGGTCAGAAAAGGTAAAGACTTCCCTGGCAAGGTTCTTCATTCCTCTTCCATATCATGCTAGATGTATTGTTTACATAAATAAAGGAAGTGCATCTTTGTTTGGAGGAACCATTCCGAGAAAAATCAGAAAGAAACAATTCTAAGAAAAGACTGGCCTCACTCTTGGTTTAAATGACTCCTGGAATTCAGCCTTTCTTGAACCAGGCACTACTATACTGTTGCATTCGTTATATTTTTCTTCTGTGCAAATTCCACTTCTGCCTTAAGAACAACTCATTTTATTTTAGTCAGGAAGTGATGGGGGAGCTCATGCATAGGTCAATCTGACTATAGCTCTGTGACTACACAGAGCTGGTACATCATGGGTGCTCTGTTCATCTGGCTGTGCTCAGTAACCCCTAAAGTTTGGCATCCCCTTCTGTATTTGTACACATGTGTAGTAAATTTTCAGCACCTTTGCTGGACATCTACCCTCTGTCCAAGGCCTTGGGCACACCTATAACTTCATCACTGCAATGATGGAAGGATCCATAATGCATAAAGTCACCATATTTGGTGGCTTTTCAGGCATTCATAGCCTTGATTCACTTGGAAATTTCATGGATGTTCTTAAAGTTTACAGGAAGATTTGAGCATTTTTGATTTATATGATTTTGAGGGGAGTCTGGATCAAATGCATAGCAATTCATCCTGAGAAATCACTTCAGGCCAACTAGGCAAAGAGCTTGAAATGTAACTTTAAGTCAGACTATTATTTTTTGAGTGAAAAAAATAGTTTTATATTCTGTAACTGTAAAGATCAGAAGTAAATTAAAGGGTAACACTCCATGTAGGCTTCAGCTCTCCAGAAGAAAGCAATTTCCTAATAACTAGAAGTTGTAGTAAACTAGAAAACTAGCAGATTAGTTTTCAAAATGCCATATAGAACAATTCTAGATATGAAAAAGATCATATTGGTAGCTTAAGTAGCAAGTACGGGGTAAAAATTCTACTTTTTCCCAAAAAGTTTTAAAAGGAGCGGAGGTTTTTATGCCAAAATGTGTTTACTTTTATAAGTGCTAAGGGAACAGATTCCATCAGGCATATTTTCTCCTATGATTATTTTTCTAACATTTTCATTTCGTCACCCTTCTTTGAAGATTTTTATTGTTATACATGATAGAATGTGAAATATCCTTTCCAAACATATATTTTCAATTACTAATTACACTATTGCTTAAAAACAAGTAAAACCTTTAGGTTCATGCTTATGCATTCATAAATGGAAGAGTGCACGATGCAAGGGCTGACTTCCTTCATGCGCTCTAAGAACTAAAGAATAATGTGGGACAAGTGGGAGGGTGTCAGAACATGTTGGTTATTACCACTCTCTAATTCTCAGAGCTGTGAATTCAAATATATAAGTGATCTTTTAAAGAACAGGTTAAAGCCAGGGTGTGGTGGTGTGCACCTTTAATCCCAGCATACCAGAGGCAGAGGCAGGAGGATCTCTGTGAATTCAAGGATAGCCTGGTCTACATAGTGGGTTCCTGGCCTGTCAGGGCTACCAAGTAAGACCGTGGCACACACACAAAAAGATAATAGATAAATAAAATATTAGTTAAAATTAAGTTTGAGCCATATAGTCGTGCAATTACTTAGTTAATGAACCTTGATAATTGCATTTGATAATATTGAATGGGGCACTGTAGTGTAGAAACCACTAGTTACAGTAGCTTCATTGAGGTTTAGGTGTTTAAGGACAGTAAGAGGAAAAGAAAAGAGAGCTGAGTAAAGCCTAATTTTAAGGTGAGGCAAATAATTATAAAGTTCCGGTTTGATAGTGCTTTCTGAAAAAACAAAGTGCAAAACAGAAGAGAACATGGTGACGTAGTCTTTGGATGGGCTTATGAAGGATGAGTGCTGTTCAGTCTCACAATTCATTTCTTGGAAGAAGTGTGAGTTTTGGGGATGGAATGGGAAGCATGACCTATTTTGATTCAGTGTCTCTTTAGAGGCTGTCTGTGGCATGATAATACATCAGACTGTATTCTCACCATTAAACTCACTGGGCTAAGCACATAGTGAGACAGGTTATAGGGTGATAGGAAGATGGGTGGGTGACTATATCCCTACACAGATGCTCAAGCTTCTGTTCACCTTTTTCTTCTGATTACTAATTAGCATAAGATATTTTGACAGAGCATCAACCTCTGACTTTGCCTCCTTTCTAAGATTTTCTATGGTATCATTAGTTGCATTCTACCTAGATGTCAGAATCACATATTCAGTCTCTTTTTAATTTGTAATCTCCATGAAGAAATATTTTGAAAGTTCCATTTCAAATATGGAATAACATAGTTTTTTTTTGGTGGGGGGGTTGGAAAAGCGCCAGGTACCTTCCCCTCTTCCGGATGCATTTCTATCATAAATGACATCTTACTTATATTAGAATATCATTTGGCCAATGCTTTATATGTGACATGTGACTAAGTTAATGAAATGATTTCTGACATGGAAAATACATTAATGCACTATAGACAGCATATGCAAAATTCTTTTTTCCTAAGCACAGAGGAGCCATATATATGCATATATATATAGTGAACTTGTACTTTTAAAATTTTGCGATTTTCATACAATATAATTCAATGGTACCGAGATGCCCTTCCCCATCTACACCTCCTCTTACTGCCCCTGCCCAATTTAACGCACTTTTTCATATATATATATATATATATATATATATTAAGGCCTATAGGGTCTAATGTGTTTCCTCAAATGTCCTTCAGTGTGGGTTCATCCACTGGAGCCTGGTTAACCTACTAAGAGTCACATCCTTAAAAGAGACTGTCTTTCTCCCTCCTAGCAGCCATCAGTTGCCAATGGTTCCTTAGGTGGGGTTGAGGTTTCTTACCCACTTTCGCATGTCTCTGCTGGGATTTTGTCTGGTTTGAACTTGCCTGGGACTTGTGCATACTGTCACCATTGATGTGAGTTCATATGGAACTTGTACATTTTTTTGTTTCCAGATTCAATTATTTGTAACTGACAAGAGGAGCCATTTAAGAAATTAAGGCTGTTTTAATATTTTCTTATTTGCAGAAGTCTCTTTAACTTTTAAATTCTCTAAGTCTGCATTAATCAACCATTAACTCAATCTTTTTGGGAACAACAAATTTAGGAACCAAAGACATTAAGGCATTTAATCACATACTTATACTCAGAACACCACACTGTTAAATTAACAATTAGAATGTGACCATCGTAAGAGTAGCAGCCAAGTTATACACATTTGTGCACTTCATTCAGTCTTTAATTTTATAAATACTTAATACTTGATAGTAATAGTGTTAATGCCAGCAACTGTTGTATATAATAGACCTATATTAATAGGCTACAGCTACTGTGACAAATTATTTCAAAGTTGGCTTACAGCACCCATCACAATGTCCTTTATTACAAATCTGTAAGTTAGAAGCCTGGAACAGCTTTCCCTGGTCTCAAATCACAAGCAGGTAAGGCTGTTGTCCCTCTGGAGACTACAGGGAAGAACATATTTCCTTGTCTTCTGCAGCTTTTAGAAGCCTCTAGAGATCACACAGATTCCCTGTCCAATCTCAAAAGTGAACAATGTTACATCTCTCTGAACAGCTGCCATATGTCTGTCTCCCTCTAAACAGGAAAGGTTTTCTGATTTCATCATTTGATTATGCTGGGCTATGGCAAGATACTTAGGATCCTTAATGTAATCACACCTGCAAAGTTCTTTATATTCTGCAAGGTAACATATTAGTAAGTTCAGGGATCAGGGCATGAGCAATGCATTTGTTTCTTAGGCTAGAGTCTCAGAAGTGACTTCTAGGGTCAATATGGTGTGAGCCTTCTTATGACAATGCAAATATATCATCAACTATCTTTCATAAGGAGTTATATTAATTTACATGCCATCCATTGTATATATATATATATATATATATATATATATATATATGAAGATTAATTTTCTATAATTGTTCTATCTAGGATAGGTTAAATCTATCAAAAAAATTTTTTTGAGACAAGGTCTCACTGTTTAGCACTGGCTGGCCTGGAACTTATTTGTGGACCAGGATGTGCTGGAACTCACAAAGATTCACCAGCCTCTGCCTCCTGAGTATGTTGGGGTTGAAGGTGTACACCACTATACTCAGCTTCCAAAGAATTTCACATACAATAATCTCAAACAATCTTAGAATATGAAGAACTTTAGAAGGCATCTAAGCTGACTCCTGCCCTGTTGCTCGTGCGCTGTGCTTTGGTACGTAGCATACTGAGAGAAACTGCTTGCTTCTTTATTTCTCATCAAAAAACAAACCCCCAAACCCACCAAAACAAAAAACATGCACCACTGATCTGCCTCTTCCATCTTGCTTCTTTTAATTTGTAGCTCATTTTTTTTTGTTTGTTTGCTTGTTTTTGGTTCTTTTTTGAGACAGAGTCTCCCTGTAGCCCCCACTGGCCTGGAACTCACTATGTAGACCAGGCTGGCCCCTGCCTCCCTGTCCCCTCCCCGCCAAGTGCTGGGATTAAAGGTGTGCACCATTATGCCTGGTTGGCACATCACAGGCACTTGTATTTGTGAGTGTTTTCCTAATTGACCCAGAATCAGGCATTTGGATACAGTGAAATAAACACTGCTGTAAGAATAAGGTGACCTAGACAGGAAGCACAGAGCTGCTGTGGTAACTGCAGTGGAATCATTCTATCCTTCCATTGATTAATTCAGAAATCAGATTACACACTTTCTAATGTCTTTCACTACTAAAGCTTGATATGAAGTTTAAGCCCAGCCCCAGCATATTACATGACAATCTCAAACTTTTCAAAGACACACAGTGTACAATTTGTTTTCCTGTCTTGTTAAGTTTTAGAGGGAGATGGGCTTGTATCAAGGAATCACTTTCAATTCCAGATCTGTAGTCTCTAAATAATCTCTTACCGGCACACCCTGGTTTTCCTTTTGACTTTGAGAGGTTTGGTACTTAAAGAATAGAATATTTATGTTTTTCTGGTAGAGGTAGAATGTGGTAAGACTTCTATGAAGAAGACCAGACTTTCATTGATCTGCCTCGATATGCTATAAGGGGTTTGCTCAGTCTTTGCTGCTTATTGTTGCAGAGTCAATTGAAACCCAAGCCTTTTAAGTCCTGCTGCCTCTGCAGCATTCACAGTTGTCCTTGAGCAAGAAGATATGTGGAGGCACACTTTCATGCCAGGCATGACTGTGAATGCCTTTAATCCCGCACACAGCACAGGCAGGCAGATCTCTTTGAGTTCAAGGCCACCCTAGTCTACACAGCCAAGTTCCAGGCCAGTCAGGGCTACAAAGATTTCAAAAAAAAGACCTGGCATTTTCCTCACAAAATAGAAAGCAAAAAGATGCTCCTCCAGGACAGAAAGATCTTACGAAACCACGCTAGCATGCTAAAATGGGAACACTTCAAGGCTAAGGTATGTCTTTGCTTTATCACTATATCATCAACAACAAAGATAATGCCTGAGGCAAAAGAGGAGAGGAGGAAAAACATGTCCAGGTTAAGATCGATTGGGATGTTCTGAATGAAATGCACAAAAATTTAATTTAAAAAAATAAAAAAGAAAGTTGGGAACTTATGCTTGGAAAGCCCTTTCCATTCAAGGCTGGCCCACCAGGCTGTTTCCTATCTTCCAGTGATGAGAGGCTTCTGGCATCCTGAAGGAGCTCCAAGCCTGGTAAAATCCTGAATAAGCTGGAACCAGATACACATCTCATGTCCTCCTTCCTCGTATGTCTTCAGCATACAAGACAGTGCTGAGCTTAAGTTCACCATATTACTGATGGTGAACAAAGTTATTAGAGAAGAGCTACATGGCAAAACGATTTAAAATTTTCTCTTTCAAAATTAGGACTTAAGTAGAAAAGTCAAGAGTAAAAACTATTTCAGAGAATAAGTAGGCAATATGCAGGTTTTTCTGTCCTCATTTCCTGTCTACCAGGTCCACAGTTCTTCTTGAATTTAAATGAAATATCAGAAAGAGGGAGAGCTCACAGACAGCACATATCAGTTTCTACCATCCTTGCTCTAGGTAGAGATCTCAGCAAGCACTGAGGAAAACGACTACAAGGTTCTGTGACTTTGACTCACTAGGGCTGTACAAGGTCTGAATCCTTTCCTGGAGCCTTTAAAATACTCTTTAAAATGATCTTACTATATGGTTTAAAGCTATAGAAACTTGAGGAAATTATGTTAGAGACACAACATTGTAAACATTTCTCTTAAAAAGCTTCTGTCAGTTACATCTAAACCTTACCTAAATAAGAAGCAAGTGGTTCGTTCATTTTGGCAGACTTGGCTTGAAAGGTTGTGTTTTGAGGGATGACTATTTGGTTAGCTTTTTGCATGACGACTGTTCCATTCCAGTCATAGGCCCCCACTGCTCCAAGCATGACCCAGTCCTAACGTGTGAGGACAGAAATCAACAACACTTAATCAAAAAATGGCAAACATTTATATGGCTTTAATAATGTGATTGGAGCTGCTCAGTGTTTTATCTAAATTAACTCATATAATCCTCCCAATAACTTCCTACACAACAAGCCAATATTACAATCCCCATTTAATTGAAGAGGAAATTGAGGCACAGTGAGTAACTCCCACACTGAAACGTCAATATTCCTGTATTACAACTATGTCTTTTTGTCCACAAATTATAAATGATACATTTTTAATCTTGCTTTTCTATATTTTTCTGCATACCAAAAAAAATCTATGTTTTAGTCTGCTAAGGAATTCTAGCAAGATCTGTGAATACCTTGACACTGAGAAAAATAGTCCATATTTTAAACAAATATATTAAGTATTTCATTTCATCAGATTCATAGTTACCTACAGCAGAGCTCAGATCGTCTGGTTCACAGCTATTACACAGTAGACTGTAGTGAGCTGTGTGAAAATGTTTTCTTAATAAGAAGCTTGTGAGATGCCATTTAGAATTAGAAGTCACCACCCTAGCATGTGGAGCTGCTTGTGCCATGACCTGCAAGTTGTGCTTATGGAATTGTTGGCTGGGCATTGCTCAGGGGATACAAATTTTGCAAAAAAAAAGATATTTGTTTCTACCATGTTATCAACATACCTGTGAATAATGAGCACTGAAGCCCGTCTGAGACATTTCCATTTCAAATGAAGCGGCAGATTGGTCAGCTGTAGCTGTAACACAGGAAAAATGTCACTGTAAGTGGCTAACACCTCCTTTCAGGCTGCTCTTGACCTGCTGGGCACAGAAAGGTGGTGGAATCTGGGGCCCTATCCTGCAGAACCCTTTTACATCTCAGGGTACTTTCAGTGGTACATTTATCAGCCAAAACTCCTAGGTGGGGCTGAGTGTAAAGCAGAGGTTATTGTAAAGGACTCTTGTATCAGATTCTTGCTCATTGGCCTCCCATTCTTGCTGGAGGAACCTCCACTCTAACACTGCCACAGGATATGACTCTATAGTGCTCTGGGTCCACGTGGTGGAAGTTGAATTACTGCAGTAGCTGTCTTGTCTTCGTGACCTGGGAATGCTACCTAGGCTAAATTTATTTTAGCTTTACAGAGTTGAAACCTTTCACTCCTATATTTAAAGTGGTTCTCAAATGCACCAGTGCCACTTGTGTCCCAGGCCATAGATCCTCTCCCAACACCTCTGTTTGATATGAGATGAAGGAGTCCAGTTTGCATCTGCTCTAATGCTGGTTGTGGGTTTCTTTCCCAGATGAGGAGCAGACTCTTTTACATGGCTCCAGCCCACATCCCATCTGATCCCATATTTTAAAAAGACCTTGTACCATTTCAAGGCCCATTGTTGAACTGCAAACAGTTTAGGGCACTGTATGGAAGTGTATGAGTCTCAGAATATTTACAAATCAGAAGCCACAGTTTCCTGGGGGAAAAAGAGGGAGTATTAATTTACTTGCTTCCAGGGAGTTACTGGTTTATTTATCCTTAAAAAAAATTAAAACATATAATTTCAACCAAGTCAGCCTGACTTGTTGAGGCATGAGATTCATTAAATATGTGGAATTAACCATATTTACTATATATTTACTGTCGTTGAGTTTGTTATAGAATTGGGTTAAGTGACAATAAACCAGGAATTTGAAGGTATCATTTTAATCTCTTGTACAAATTGCTCTTTTAATGACTGAGACATATTTCACCTTTAATTTAAACATGTGTTCTCAATACACAATGATTTAAGTAGCATAGTTTTGCAGGACTGACAGCAGAACACAGACGTGAACCCTAGCAACCTCCACCCAACTGCTGCCGTGGTTCAGCTAGAACACGACATTCAGTTTGCTACATTAGCATCATGGTAGGAGCTTGTTGCCGCTGAACTCCTTTCTGTTATCATGTCCCTGAAGTACTCAACCAGTCTCACCCCTGCACAGCTTCTAGCTAGGAGTTTCAACATTTCTTTCGAAGTTTGACAGGAAAGGGAGGCTCAGGGCTGGAGAGATGGCTCAGCGGTTAAGAACACTGACTGTTCTTGTAGAAGACCTGGATTCAAATCCCAGCACCCACACGGCAGCTAACAACTGTTCGAAACTCCAGTTTCAGGGGATCCGACAGCCTCTTCTGTCCTCCACCGACATTGCATGACACGGGTGCTCTTACCTACATGCAGGGAATACACGCATACACATAAAATAAAAATAATAAATAAAATATTGAAAAAAAAGAAAAGGGAGACTCAGACCATTTCCTGATAGAAGTTCTTCCTGTGCTTGACTTACTAGGTGGCATCATCCTTGGCAAGTCAGACTTTTATAATTGCAGCTATTTATCATCTAAAATAAATGTTGACAGGAAGTGGAGATTTCCCATGTAACAGGGGAAAAGGCCCTTTCTGATCATCTTAGGAAACTAAGAAATAGTGTACCCAAAGCACTACTTTAAATTTTTTTTATTTATTTTTATTTTATGTGTATAAGTGGCTGCCTTTATGTACATGTACTCATGCATGCAATGCCCATGGAAACTAGAAAAGGGTGTTGGAGTCCCTGGAACCAGAGTTACAGACAATGGTTCAGCACCATGTGGGTGCTGGGAATCAAACCCGGGTCCTTTGCAAGAGCAGTATGTGCTCTTAACTGTTGAGCTATCTCTCAGGCCCCCAAAGCACTGCTTCTTAATACCAGCACCAGGGAACCTTGAGCAGGAGGATCAAGACCAGCTAGACTTTGCCTCAAAAGCAAAAATAAAATCAGAAACAAAACAGACAACCTGCACTACTTTTAGTTAGCCTTAATAGTGCAACAATAAAGAGCTGGAAAGATATTTTAATCTTCAGAGCTACTTATAAAACAATTTTATTTTTAACATAGAGATTTCTTAAAGCATTGGACATGCTGGTGTAGAAATTTAACCTATGTTGTGGTTAGGTTAGAAATAGCCTAAAAACATCATTTCAGGCAAATTGAGCTACCTCTCCCACAATGTGGGCTTCATTAGGCCAGTTTTGGGTTGTATCTGCTTACTTAAGAAAATATTTAGAAATAATATTAATATGTTTAAGGATCTAGTGTTAACAGTAATTAAAAAAAACACTTTACAGGTTGTTTCTTGGCCTTTGCTATTAAAGATTAAAAGAAAAGAATAACACAGAAGACCTTGTCTATTAAAGCTAGACAAGCTCCTGGGCAGGCCTATTGCTAAATGACATCCCAATAGCTGTTGAAAGACCAAAGCCTTATAACAATGACTTGTACTTAGGACACAGGACAGCTGAGCCCTTCAGAAGCAGCTGTGACTTTAGACTGATAAAGATTTGAGTGTTCTGTCTCTAGACAGGCAGAAAGGGAGCCAGACAAATTCCATCTGACTGGAGTGCCAGTCTTCATGCTAAGAGTAAACCAGCTTCCTAAGCCCTGACTATGACTCAGATTTCTGAAGCCAGCAGGGTGAGTAAAGCCAATATTGTTTTCATTGAGAAAGGATCAGGCAAGTGAGAAGAGATGGGAAACTATCACAGTGCACTGTACATCGTAGCACATATCATGATTAGCTCTGAGCTTGCTTTTATTTTTATATACATATATGTGTGTGCACTGGGGGTTGCAAAGTTAAAAGTTTATTATAATGGGTTACTAAATAAAGATTGAAAATCATCGCTTTATACTATTTTCTTGGGCTGGGGATACAGCTAAGTGGTAGTTGCCTGGCATATGCAAGGTCCTGGGTTCAATACCTAGAAGTACACACACAGACACACAGAGCCTGTTTGCCTTGCATAACAATTCTGAAGACATTTTGTTGGGAAATATTTAGTTTCAAAGCAGTTTGTTATTTGGCCTCTCGCAGAGGAGGAAGTAGCACGTCTCAATATCCCCAGCAGCCCTTTGCCACTGAAAAGTCAAAGAAGAATCTACAGAGGTGACGTGGTTAGACAAGCATAGCAAACGAAAGTTTTTCTATCACAAGGTTTGAGGTAAAGCTCAATGAAGATCCTTAAAATGCACAAAGAGCAAATTACAGAGGAAAGAAATGGACAGAGAAATGACTGCACCAGCACGCTGTTATGCAGCCCTATTGAAAGAGTCGAGTGGGAAGACAATGTCAAGCCAGTGCTTCCTGCTGTCAACCTGGCCCTGGAAAAGGGGTAAGGCACGCAGGAGCATTTTTGTTCTTGCACGTCTGTGCTGAACACTGTGTTTCGAGCAATGCCATCAGCCCTGCCATGTCTTCACAAAGAAAGCTTCTAGCAGACACAGTTCTCTGAAATAGCTCAATGACAGATTCATATAAAAGGAAATTGTTTCATGATGGCTACTGTGCACAGCAAAAATGAATGTCATGTGCTAGGAATAATGCCCCAAGCCAACACATTGAGTTTGAATTTTAGAAAGAACATGCAAGATTAAGAGAAATAGTCATACCTTCCAAGGCAAATATTCTTTCTCCCAGAGCTTTAACAATAGTGACCAGGGCCAATTCATCTGAGACATTGAAGAAGTGCTTTTCAGTGGGTTTACTTGCAATTGATTTTATTTCCTCCACGAATTTTTCAGTGCTCAGATTTCCTCGGTTATAGTGGCCAAGAATCTAAGACATGACAAAAATGGCAAGAACATATTTTAACTTCTGTATGTTAAATAAGAATCTCAAGTATATTTTCAGTAAGCAAGAGCATTCACAATACCTCACCACAGTGTAATTTTTATGTACTTCTGCATTTGTGTAAGAAGAGCTGAGAGATGGTTTCCCCAATATTACTCTTAAACTGCAGTTGGGGTAAGAAAATTAAAAGAGTGTTTTTTTTTTCTTTTGCATTCATGTGTCTCTAACATTTATAGCTTTGAAATCTGACGGTTCAAAAGGCATGCTATGGTTTCTGAATGTCTGTGATATTATTCCAGCTAGTGACAAAGGCAGCTGCTGGCACAGCTCAAGGAAGCTATATGGTTAGACATGTATGTATGTGTGTATGTAACTGAATACACATATGTGCTCACACATACTTACTTTCAGTGACTCATGAGAATTTTGTACATATTTTAGATAGATGTCTGTTGTGTTTGGCAAATGTTTTCTTTGACTCTGTGGGTTTCTTTTTTTTTCTTAAGAGAAGTTAAAAAAGTTTTAAATAAAATTTTTTATTGAATTTCTGTGTATTTCATACAGAACATCTTAGTCAACCTTAATCACCTTCATACCCCCTTCTCCACTGACACCCTCCCATAGCCTCCTACCCCACTGGAATTTATACATTCTGTCATTTGTATTAAGGCCTATCATGTCAAATTAGTGTCCCCAGATGTCCTTCGGTACAAGTTCATTCATTGGACTCTACGCAGCCTATCTAGGGTCCCTCCCTTGAAGAAGATCAGCTCTTCCTAACCTATCAGTAATCACCTGCCAATAATTCTTCAACTAAGATTGGGGCTTGTTGCCCATCTCCACAGTTCTGTGCTGGGGTTTCATCTGCTTGAGTTTGCATGGGTCTTGTGCATGCTGACACCACTGCTGTAGGCTCATGTGATTAAGGTCCCAGGAGCCTGTAAGATTCTATTTCCATCTGGTCCTGCACCTCCTCCCTGGCTCTTACAATCTTTCCATCCCCTCTTTCACAATGGTCCCTGAGCCCTGGGTCAATAAAGTTTAATAAAAGAGTCTTGTCTAAGGAGAAGTTTTAAATTTTGATGAAGTCAAACTAATCACCATTTTAAAGTTTTGCCTGTTTAATTTTAATATGAAAATAGCTATGTTTATGAAAAATAAAAAATATGCAAGTTTAAAAACAAAAAGTTGAAAATTCTCAATTTGTGAGGGTATGACCTAATTCTTTATTTTAAAATTGTATCACTATGTGATCACTAAGAAAGAAATTTAAAAATTTTGTACAACAATCTATTATTTTTTATTTCTCTGTTAGGAGATTGGCTAGTTCCTACTTCTTTTTGGGCTTTTTGAGACAGGGTCACCCTGTATCCCCAGCTGTCCTGGAACTCACTATGTAGACCAGGCTGGCCTTGAACTCACAGAGATCTGCCTGCCTCTGTCTCCCGAGTGCTGGGACTAAAGGCGTGTGCCACCATGCCCAGCTATTTAAAATTTTTAAAAAAATATTTTATTTATTATTTTTAGTTTATGTGTATGTGTGTATTGCCTGCATGTAGGCAAGTGTACCCGTGTAGTGTAGAAGACAGGAGAGGCTGTCAGAGCCCCTGGAACTGGAGTTACGGACAGTTGTTAGCTGCCATGTGGGTGCTGGGATTTGAACCTGGGTCTTCTGCAAGAACAGTCAGTGTTCTTAACTGCTAAGCTGTCTCTCCAGCCTCCAATATATTTAAATTTTTAAATAATGAAATTGTCACTTTTGTTATAAAACATGTTTAGTTTTTATCTCATTATAAGCGACATTTGAAAATTATTTAGCATTTTTAAGTATTCATGCCACCTTTATTATAACACAAACTGAGAACAACTTAAATATCTATAAATAATGATGTGGAAATGACATATTCATAAAATGGATATTATTATAAGAAGCACATACGCAGTGTCTTGTATAATCATCTTGAGGCCAAAGCAAAATACAAAAGAATACATAATGTATGATCATTTATGCAAAATTCAAGAATCAATAACCTATATAAAGTATGGTAGTGGTTGCAAAAGGAAGTGTTACTACAGACAGAAGGAAGCACAACGGAACTTTCTGGGGGTGACAGGTTGTTCCATATTTACTGGTGTGTTTGTTTTGTTCTCTTTATACACACTTATCACATTAACATGTTTTCAGTGCCTATAAATGTTACCTCAGCTTTTAAAAAGAACTGAATCATACGAATGCAATGTAACCGCTTTAATTGTAAAAGTTCCAAACTACTATATCGAACATACCAACCTGTATATAAAGTTTAAAAACAGCAGAAAAATGATTAAATTCAGTTTTCATACACATGCACATTGATGCCAAAAGAATAACTTTAGTGGAAAGAGTGAAGGATTATGCACATGAAATCTGGACTGGTGATTACCCAGGTATATCAATGTATAATTTAAAGTTATTAAAATGGTAGGATATGAAATTATATTTTGATTAAGAAAGGTACAGATATTCACTTGCAGAAAATGAGAAAAAGCTAAAATTATTCCTTAGAGAGTTACTGTTTACGATCTACAGCAGACTTATTTGTATAATAAAATGAGGAATGGTTGAGGGTAACAACTAAATCACTCTGATGTATACTAGGTGCTAATGTGAGAATCCAAGTCCTGTCTGCTCTAGTCAGCCAGGTGCGTGGTGGCTTTGAGAAATGCATTTGCCCCTTTCCCTGGGAAATCAGCGACTAGAACAAAGGAAATGCCACATCTCAACACTAGAGTACTGCAACCCAACTCCTTGCTCTTCACTCTAAGACGCCAGCAAAGTCACTCCATCCTTAGCTCCTTCACATGTAAAATGTGCTTACAAGAAGTGATACACTTACAGCTTTGAACAACTGTCCCGTACCTTAGAAGCAGGTAGATAATTAAAAACTGGAGCTTGCACTAAGGTATCCTGCATACCACTTGGGTTCTCTTTTTGACTTTGGAATTTACTCTCTGCTATGTTGTCCAGACACTGGATAGTAAGGTCAAACCAGGTGTTTACAAATCAGTCTGGAAAGCAAAAATTAAATTCTTGGCTACTTTCCTGAAAAGCAAGTGCCAAATGCTGGAAGCGATTGACATTTGAACAGAGACCACTGGCACGCTCTCTTACTTTAGCTGTGTGATAGAGGAAAGTTAGTGGAAGACGCAGTAGAGAGCTGCTTTGGCAGGGAAGGAAAACTCATAGGCCACTGCTTTCAGGGCACCGAGAGAAGCCCCTATCTCAATTAAAAACTGCTGGCAAGATGCTTTTCTTTTCATATTTTATTTTTATATGTGTGAGTATATTGCCTGTATGCATGTAAGTGCACCCATGTCATGCAGTACCTGTGGAGGTCAGAAGAGGGACAGTTGTCATCTGCCATGTGGGTGCTGGGAACCGAACCTGGGTCCTCTGCAAGATCGGTCTTCAGTGTTCTTAACTACTGAGCCATCTCTCTAGCTTGGGGAGGTGGCTGACTCCAGAGAAAAAGAGGAAAGCCAGGAGAGTCTCCAAGTTCTAAAGGTAACATTATATCCTTTCCAAACACACAGTGAGACTTCTTTTTCCTTTTTGTTAGTTTAATTCTTTGTGTTTCTTTTAGATTCATTTAAATGCTCAATTATGCAGATTCCTTTGAGTTACTCAGAGACTTACCTAATTCATTCTACAGATCATGTGACATTCTAGGATGAAAAAATCACCATCTCTTTGCTTTGGTTCCTATTTAGCATATTCTAGATTAACTATTGAATTGACACATTAACTTCTATTTAATTTATAAGCTGATGCAATTCCAAATACACACAAAACAAATTTAATGGCTAAGTTTTAGGACCTGCATGACCAAGGCTGTTAATAGTGAAACAAAAGTTACCCAGACTTTAAGAAGTACATGTGACAGAACAGAGACAAGTGGATTGAACTCACTAGGAAAAAAGCCCCAGTAACGTGTTTTTCCTTTTTAATTTTTAAAACTTTTATTTATTTATTTAATGTGTATGTGCATGTATGTAAGTGCAGCTATGTCATAAAGTGCCTGGAGGCCAGACGAAGGTGTCAGGTCCCCTGAGCTGGAGTTACAGACAATTGTAGCCACCATATGGGTGCTGGGATTCAAACCCAGGTCCTCTGAGAGACCAGCCAGTGCTCTTAACTGCTGAGCCACCTCTCCAGGCCCCTCCCCACCCCCAGTAACATGCTTAAAGAATAAAAATAAAGTGGTTGAGCACAATGATGAAATGTATACTTAGAGAAAAATGTGAGAACAAAAGATCCCATGAGTTACTGTGACTTGCGTATCAGTTTGAACTATTTTACACCACAGATAAATGATACAAATGAATCTATTTTTATCTTGTGCCCACCGGTCTGGTAGCTTGTAAAATGTTTTCTATGAAAATGAAAGAAAATACATCTAAATTTCTCCAGCTTTATTCAGCTCAGATCTGTCAAGTCCAAGCATTTGGAATTCTGCTAAAATGTATCTGAAAGGAACATTCAGAACAAGTAAGGTATGCAATTCATTTACATGCAGCATGGTCTTTATCTGAAAAAAAAAAAACAAAACAAATGGAATTCTAATATGCTTGCTGATGTCTTGTTCTCATTTGAATGCAGTGATATATAGTTCACAGCCATTAGCATCTAAAAGCAGAATCTGACTATCTAAGGAGGCCTAGTGGACGATGTGTTGCATCCTCCAGTGATGGAAGTAGAGAGACCATGGCATGGACAACCTCAAAGCCAACTCAGGACCCTCTCCAAATCTGAAAATTTAACAGGAAATGTTTGCAGTTTTAGCACAAGGAATTTATATTGTCCCTACTTGGTCCTTTGGGGAAGCTGCTTCCTGTCAAAACACAGTCCTGCGGGGTAGGATGGTGTGCACATTTAATCTCAGCACTCAGGAGGCAGGGGGATCTCTGTGAGGCCAGCCTGATCTACAGGCCAGCTTTTTTTTTTTTTTTTTACAAAAAAAAAAAAAAAAAAAAAAAAAAAAAAAAAAAAACCCAAACTAAACCAAAAAACAAAACAAAACAAACAAACAAACAAAAAAACCCAAAACCAAACAAACCAAAACTACATTTCTGTGTTGTTCAGGATCAAACAGTGGGGAAAAAAATTTAAAAAATGGAGTAGAAGGAACAGTTCAAGCAGTAACTAAGAACTTCAGGTTCCATGAATATGGGCTCCCTGACCATGTGTGCCAAGTGCATGTCTGCCATGCACCTGCATGCCTTGAACATGTGTACCATGAATGCACCCTGTGTGATCCCTGAAGCCTTTCTGTGTTAATGTACAAGTGAGAGGAAACAAAATTGTCTTATTATTCAATTTGGCCCCAAATAATATCCTTTTAAATAAATGTAGTATACTAGGGGAAAGAAATAGATATTAGGAAAAATACAAAAATAATTGTTAGGTGAAATTTTCTTATGTATTTTTATCTATACCACTTCCAAAAGCAGTTTGATAACACGGCACTCCATGATAACTAATGGGATTTGGAAATCTCTGACCAGATGAGAGGAAATGCGTGAATATCCAATAGGGCCCCAACAAAGCAATACAGTGTGTTAAAAACCAGGAAATACTTACTGTGTCTTCAGACATGACATAGAGCATAGTATTCATTTAAAATTAAAAGGTTGTTTATTGATGTTTGCTTTCCTGTGAAGTTCTCGTAATACTGATGGTGAGCATGTATGCTGCATATTAAAGTCTCCCACCAGGGAGGCAAATAATCTATGACTGAACTGTATCTGCAGCATCAATGCTGTTAATTCCAATGACAGCTAATACTGTCCATGGCCTGTATCTGTGGTACTTAGAATACCAACTGTATTCTCCAGGGGAAGCAGAACAAATGTGATCATCTCTGATACTCAGATGCCTGGAATCACGGGGCAAGTTTAGGCTTTGCACACTGAGGAAAGGCACTAGCCATAGGCTAAATGTCATCATTTGGACAGTTTTTCTGAATGAAGGCCAAAACATTTAAAGCTATTCCCAACCACAGAAAAGACCAAAAGAGTTACATTGTAGTAACAGAAGGGGTAATAAAGAATTTGATAATAATTGGAAAATTTTATAGAAGTAATTATAAGGAAAATGAGAGAAAAAATGAAAATTTTTTTATATCTTATACTCCAAATAAAATGGGAAAATGTTGCAGTTAGAAATTATCACTTTTTATAACCAAATCACCTTGGTTTGTTTGGTTCATCTAATCAAAAGAGATTTTGAGATTCCACTGACCTTCACGGAGAACCATGTATCATGCAATTCTCTCCCATTTTAATCAGTGAGTCATTATCAAATTGTTTTTGGAAGTAATACAAATAAAAATAAATAAGAAAATTTCACTTAAAAATTATTTGTTATTTTTCCTAATATATATTTCTTTTCTACCAGTGCCTTGCCCCTGGGAAGCTGTGAATCATTCCCTGGAACTTTTTTCTATGGATAAATTTCTCTTTTCCTCCCTTCTTACAATGTTCATGTGTCTGAAAGGACGGAAGCAAATGTCATGGATTGGATACTGACCAGCAATTTTTTTACTGTTTATTTTATTTTACTTTATTTTATATTTTATGTGTATGTGTGTATTGCTTGCATGTAGGTAAGTGTACCCATGTAGTGCAGAAGACAGAAGAGGCTGTCAGAGCCCCTGGAACTGGAGTTACAGACAGTTGTTAGCTGCCATGTGGGTGCTGGGATTCAAACCTGGGTCTTCTGCAAAAACAGTTAGTGTTCTTAACCACTGAGCCATCTCTCCAGCCCCCTCTCCCAGCTCTTAAAAAAGTTAATTAAATCAATTTTGTTGAGTGAAAAATCAATTCATTTAGGAAGAGAGAGAAGATTGTCCCCAAACTGAAGTCACATGAAGTGGAGATTGAAAGGGTGAGCAAGAAATGCCAGGCATAGTCTACTGGGGATTCTCTGAAGGTTTCTGAGCAAGGAGGCAGCACAGTTTATCTCCATGATCCCTTGAAGCTGCTAAACATCATGGTTTTATTATCTTGTGGTTGTGAACGCCTTAAGTTAAGGATCAGAGAGTAAAACTGTTTATTGAGTGCCTTGCCAGTCACTGTGCTATATGCAACAATCATCACTGACGGTTTATCTTGTTGAGAGAGACAGACTGACAGAAATATCTTCCTGTTTGACATACAAAGTTACTGAAGCTCAGATTATTAAGAACCTGTCCACTTGTCACAGAGCCTATCTACAGCAGAGGCAGAATCTGCACAGAAGTGTTACTAACACTGGAACATAGTATCCTCTGCCCTTCTCCACACCCAGCCTTCTATTCCCTACTATTTCACAACCTGGGATGCCTTAAGTAGACTGGCCAATGGGGCCACGAAAATACTGAGGTCATTTTCTGAGTCTAGTGTCAAATTTCAGGAAGAATTATTAATTATATATAAATATAAACAAATATATTAATATATGTTTATTACCTAGTATATGATGCCTATCTCATGATAGACATACAAAATTTTACAAAACATCTCTACTTACAGCTATGGAAAATCGCTGAATGTTTTCATCTTCACAGTCTTGGATGACCTGTTTCAGTCGATAGTTGTCATGTGATTCTCCATCAGTCACAATAACCATGACTTTCTTAACTCCCCTCCGGGCACCCCGGGCTTCAGTGAATGCTTCTTTCCTGAAGCGAACCCAGACAAAGGGAAGTAGATCAAACTCATCCGGAAGTTAGGCCAAAGTAAAAACCAAACAGAAACATGGTAACTCTAGGTAGCCTGTTGCCCCCGTCCCAGGTAAGCATAGATGACATTGTGAGAGACAGGAAGAGTGATAATGCCATCACGGTTATGTATCAACATAACAGGGACTCACCATTTTGCTAATTGTCACATATGCCTCCTACAAAGCACAGCAGTATCTTTTTTGGAAACTTCAGAGGAAGAGGGAAACATCTTGTCAGTGTGGGAAGGAACCCATATATCTGGGGTCAGAAGTAAAGCTTAGACTGTTAAGCACAGAAAGAAGCTTTTCCTATTATTCATTTGTCTTCAGCAAGAACCACGCTGAGTCAGTCTAGCAGAATCTCCTTATCTACATATTTTCTCTTAGTAATTTTTTCATCAAATGACTCCCCACTCTGCCCCAGAGCTACAAATCTCCATTTTTCCCCTTGTATTCAAAGCTCAGCTAAATCTCTCTCCTCAACGACCAAACTCCATTGCAGGGGTTCCACCTTTATGAACTGTATGAATAATTTTTCTTTAGCTTTGAAGCTACAGGAATAGATTTCTGATTTCTTTAGATGTATAAACAAAGGTGGAAACAGATGTCAAAGGGTTAGCTTTCAAAGAAG